TATATAAAGTTATTTTTATCTCATCTTGATATGCAGTTAAACTTTTAAAAATAGTAGAATATTTGCAAGTTTCTTTTATTTAAAAGTTTTTTTTTTTTAATTTTTTTTAGTGAAAAATCACAACAAAATATAATGTATTAAATTTCATTGCATTTGGAGTTTTGTCACATAATGCTTGCAAAAGAAATGCACATGCTTGTCACTTTTTAGTTCCAGCTTTCATTCCTTAACAGTAAATGGTATGGGTTTATTTTAGTTATAGTTTTTTTTTCAATTAACATTTAATGACAGTGAATATCTTTTTTTTTTTAGTTATTAAGATGTTCTAAGAAAACTGAACCGGCTAACCACAGAGCACTGTGAAAGAGCATTCAACCAGAAAGTTCATGCTTTTTTTACTGATGTTGCTCATCTAGCTAGAGCCATCATCAGACTTCTGAATTATTCTACTAATAATTTACTACAAATAATTCTACTAAATAACTCTTCTGAACTATTTGACAAATCATTAACTGTTAAATTTTTAAAGGTAGTTGTTAGATATTTAATTTGGAGTAGCGCTACTAAATCTAAAATTTCAAAAAGTAGCTGAAGCAGTTTCTGTTTGCCTTAGGTAGCGGTAGTGCTAATCAAACATTTGGTAGTGATTATCAACTCTGATATTTATACACATATACATAAATACAAACATATATACATATATATTTAAAAAAAAATTTTGACTCACAAAATTTAGCACATAGTTTACTAACAAATTGCTTATTATCAATTATATTATTCAATATTGATATTATATAATATAATATAACAATTTAAATACAAATATAATATTAAATTATGTTAAAATATAACTAAGCTTATATTTTAACAAATTTGAATTTTCTATTTACAAGACTGCAATTACATATTTACACAAGACTGCAATTACATACTCGTAAACATACTATTATTTCAACAAATATTTTCTGTTCATTTATTTAATGAAATATTGCAACTGATATTTTTTAAAAGTTCCTTAATTAGACCATACAAATGTTTTAAAAATAATTTTCCAAATGTAATCAAATACCTTATTAGCATTTTTACTGTAAATAAACTTTTTTATAAACAATATTACAAAAAATTCCTAACAAACAGCAGGTGCTCAACAGTCAAAAAAAAATCATCACTTTGATATGTAACCTAAAAAGTACTATTCACATCATCAATGGATCCAAATTATCAAGATGCTACTAAATCTTTGGGACCTACATGAAGCCTGATAATTTGACAAGCCAAACAAAAATAAAAAATTCAATAGTGCATAATCTACAAATGCATAATTTTACAACTTATAAATTTTATAAATTCATAAATGCATAAATATTTTCCAGTAAGTTATGATGAATATACATACTTTTTAAAAATTTAAACTTGTTAAAGATGACATCTAAAATAACAATAAATCAATAACAAAAATGCTTAAAAGATTGTTACCATTTCAATGTTAGGATTTTCAAACGGTGGTTTACCAAGCGGACCTTCAACTGTTGGTTTTGTTATTTGATGAATAGACTTGCGCAATAATTTAAATAAATAAAAGTACACCTGTTTATTATCACTGTCAGTTTCTTTGTGAACACACATAAATAAATTTTCAATATCAACAACCATGGACATTAAAAAGTTCATTTGCTCTTCAGTTTCTTCTTGCAAATGAGAAACATGGTCAGACAATAAATGTTTGCATGTTCGGCATTCTGTGGTCCAAAGGCCATGCTGTTGCTGCTGCTGCTCAATAGATTTAGTAGGATTTGGATTTTTCCAACCGCTGCATGAACATGCATCAACAGCTGCCTGGGAATAAAATATAATGTAAATAAAATATAAAATAGTATACATATTATTTGAAATAATAATAACAGTAATAACAATAATGATAATAATAACAATAATAATAAAAATAATATTAATAATATATATAATAATTATAATAATAGAAATAAAATATTGTACTTTTAAAAATTGACAAATTAACAAAATAAAATGACAACTACTTTCATACGGTAAAATTGTTACAAAAATTTTTTGATAGAAAGTGTTAACTAAAATAAAAAGAAAACTTTTAATAATAACTTTTTATAATTTTTTATAAAACTTTTTTTTAAATCTTAAAAATCATTTTTTTAATAAAGTAAATTTAAATTTTTTAATGCATATGTATATATATATATATATATATATATATATATATATATATATATATATATATATATATATATATATATATATATATATATATATATTAAAGTGTCTAAAATATGTGTAAAATATAAATTTTCGTAAATCTGGAAGTAATGTCACTTTTTAAACATTTTCAATTAATGTGCAGTGGAGAACCTTGGTACAAATCTAAAATTTGTACCAAGATTCTCCGCTGCATAATGATTAAAAATGTTTAAAAAGTGGCATTACTTCCAGATTTTCGAAAATCTGATATCAAAAGTTATGATTATGACTGTTGAGAATATGGTCTATTTGCAAGACTGTTGCAAATAAACCATATTCTCATATCTAGAAGGATTTTTTTTTAGACCACCTCGCACTTCCCTGCAGCTGCTCAAAATTGTAATTTTCAGAATAACTTTTATATATATATATATATATATATATATATATATATATATATATATATATATATATATATATATATATATATATATACCTCGGAATAAGAAAAAATGAGGTCGGCAATAATTTGCTGACCTCAATCTTTTTTAGGTTGGCATCAGGTCGGCAAAAATTATTTGATACAAAGGTCTGACCATAAAACATAGAAACGAGGTTGGCAACTATGTTTTTTTTGTTTTTTGCCAACCACAAACACTTTCAGATCAGCAGTTAGGTCGGCATTGCCGAATGCCGACCCTAATTTCGAGGGTTGTATATATATATATATATATATATATATATATATATATATATATATATATATATATATATATATACTATGTTGAGCTAAACAATATACTCAATAAATTAAAAAAGCAATAGACAGGCTTCGACAGGTATGGCAGGATTAAGCCTGCACCTGCATCCACACCTGCGTAAGTTGTTTACACAGACAAAATAAAACCTGCGCAAAATATAAATATTTTGGTAAAAAAAAAAGTTAAACATGTTGATGTTTTTTATTTAGATATTCTTTACAAACTTCTCACACACTATAATTTCAATATGGATGGCAAACTTTTTAAAATTAAAAAACAAAAAATTCAATTTAGCGTGCGCTAAAAAGAATTAATTACGTAAGTCGTTTTTAACAAATTGCTGCTCTCCTACTTGTTATTATAGTGCTCATAAAAATTTTCATATCATAACACAGAAGTAAGATCAATCATTTTTAAAAACACTATATTGTATTTTTATAAATTTTTTTACTATAACGATTGATTATGTTATAACATTTTTAGGGATGAACCAGAATTCCGGCTGAAATTTAAAATTTTTAGGTCAATCCGGTTCTGGCCGGAATTACAATATTTCAGGCCTAAATGCCAGAATTTATTTTTCACTTTTTTTTAAGACTTGTGATACAGATTGTGTAAACCAAAAAATTATTTTCGTACAAGGAACTATAGGTAAACTTATGTAAAAAAATACAAAAAACTTAACAAGCACAATGTAATTTTAGGTAAAGCTACAGTTAAGCGGTCTAAAATAATTTTATTTTTTTGCTTATTTTGCTCTCGTCAGTAAAAGCTTTTTAAACATTAGGAATTTTAATTGAAATAATAAACGAAAAAAGATTGCTGCCCTATGCCACACCCTTAGTCGATGTAGCAGTACTTCTTTGTAGCAGCAAGCTATAACATAGTCAATGTATGTACTAAAGTAATAATAATTCTTTGTGTTTATATTAAAAAGTCACATATTTAAGCAAGTCTACACAAGAAAGCCCAACAAGCGATATTTATATATATATATATATATATATATATATATATATATATATATATATATATATATATATATATATATATATATATATATATATATATATATATATATATATATATATATATATATATGTATGTATATATATGTATATATATGTATATATATATATATATATATATATATATATTTATATATATATATATATTTATATATATAATATATATATATATATATATACATATATATATATTAGGTTATAAATATATAATGAAGCCATGATGCTGAGGTGCAGGCTTTCACATTAAATCTTGAAAGTGAAAAATTACATAAATATAATTCTCGTTCCGGCTGGAATTTTCTTAACAATAGGGCCAATAAGAAGATTTTTATATTATATCAATTGAGGATTAAACTGGTGCAAGTTTAGCTCTCATGGCAGTCAATTTTCTAGTGAATAAAACGATTAAACTTTTTAGACTGCAGTTAATTCATTTCTGATCATATTGACCAAGCCCTTCTCTCTTTATCCATCAGCCAATAATGTTAATGTCGGTGAATTTAATGCTCATCACACTGAATAGCTTGGCTCTAGTGTCAGTGACTCTGCAGGCATTAAAGCCCACAATTTTTGCCTTTCTCAATTCCTAACTCAAATAGTCAACATTCCAACTCGCTATCCAGACAACTCGAATCATTTACCTTCTCTTATCTCAACTTATGTCAAAATTCTGATTCTAGTCAGTGCTCAGTTTCTCCATATTCACCCTTAGGTGCCCCTGATCACAGTTTGATCTCTCTAAAACTATAATCTTATTCTTCTTTATCATCAGAATCCCACTACCATCGTACATCATACAACTACCTTAAAGTTGATTAAGACTCTTTCTGTGATTTTCTTTGTGATGGTCCTTGGGTAGAAAGCTTTCATCTTCCTGTTGACATATGTGCTTCTTACATAACTTCATGGATTCAGACTGGCATGGAATCCTTTATTCCCTCTTGATGATTCCAGATCAAGCCTCGCTCTTCTCCATGGTTTTCCTCACATTGTACTGCTGCAATTGCCAATCGAAACCATTACTTCCATATCTATCAGCAAAACAAGTCTCCAGAAAACAGATGTCTGTTTATTACTGCTAGAAACTATTGTTTAAAAGTTTTGTCTAATGCCAAAGCCAGCTATTCTCATGTCATGAAATCTCATATTTCATTACAAAAACTAGGCTCTCGTGACTTCTGGAGAATCTTTAATAGTATCAATAATAAGGGCAAGTCTGTAATTCCACCTCTTTTGTATGGTTCAGACTTTGTCACCTCACCTAAAGACAAAGCTGAATTGTTTGCTAAGAACTTTTCATCAATATCATCTCTTGATTCCACTAGTTGCATTCTATCTAATATCTGTATCACTCCAGCTTCTGTATCTCATGTGATTTCCTGCTTAGACTCTTCTACAGCTTGCGGCTTGGACAACATACCTGTTATAGTCTTGCAGAATGTTCTCTGGAGCATTTTTCTATCCTTTCAAAACTACTTAACAAGTGCTTATCAGAGTCTTGTTTTCTAGCCTGCTGGAAAGCAGCATCTACTATCCCTATTTTTAAAAATTCTGGAGAGCGATCTGATCCATCTAACTACCTTCCCTTTAGTCTTCTTCCTATCATAGGCAAGGTTTTTGAATATTTAATTTAGAAACACTTAATCTCTTATCTTGAATCTAATAACTTACTTTCTGATCATCAACATGAATTTCGATCTTCTCGTTCTATGGCTGATTTGCTAACAGTAATAAACTATAGGTTTTATCGTGCATTAGATAAAGGTGGAGAGGTTTAGGCCATCGCTCTTGACATTTCTAAATTATTTGATAAAGTTTGGCATGCTGGTCTTCTCCATAAGCTTTCTTTTTACAGTGTATATGAAAACATCTTTAAGATTATTGAATCTTTCCTTTCCAATCGTAGTATAAAAGTTGTCCTTGATGGACAGCACTCTTCTTCTTATTCTGTAACCTCAGGGGTTCCTCAAGGTTCAATCCTTGACCCTATACTCTTTTTAATTTAAATTAACGATCTTCCAGATATTCTCACATCTAGGGTGGCATTGTTCGCTGATGATACTACCATTTATTCAACACTCTATGATTGCTTGTAGGGGGTATTTGAGCTTGAAAAAGATCTCACTTCTGCAACAGCATGGGGCTTAGAGTGGCTGGTGAACATTAATTCAGATAAAACTCAATTTTTTTCAGCCAATCGTTATCGCAATAATTGAGACCTTCCTATATTTATGAACAATAATGAACTTGATGAGTCATCTACCCTTCATCTTGTAGGATTAACTCTTACCTCCAATCTTTCTTGGAAACCATATATCAGATCTGTTGCAAAATTAGCATCTGTTAAAGTTGCATCTCTTTATCGAGCTCGACACTTTCTTACTCTGGATTCTATTCTCTATCTCTATAAATCTCAAATCCGGCCTTATATGGAATACTGTTGCTATATCTGGAGCGGATCTAATGATGCCCTTTCTCTTTTAGACAAGATGCAAAAATGCATATATATACAGGCCTCAGCGGGAAGCGAAACCTTTAGCTCTCGCTCTCGCCCACACTCCCCTAAAACAGTTTACGGGAGCAATTTACAGCTCTCGCAAAAGTATAATTTTTTCTCTCAAAAGTTTAATTATCATTTTGACTCAAATAAAAAATGCAGTCATTTTAATAATTATCTTTAACAATTCTTAAAATCCCTGCATTCTATTACAATAAGAAAATATAAAACTTTTTTTATAAGCATAAAAACAATGCTTGTCTAAAGTATTTAGAAATGCAGCTCGCATAGCTCGCCATGTTTGTTTCAGGAGAGTTTTTTACCGCTCTTGTACTCATTTCTTCCCGCCGAGGCCAGTATATATGTGTGTATATATATATATATATATATATATATATATATATATATATATATATATATATATATATATATATATATATATATATATATATATTACAAGGCAATTATTTTTTTTTTCAGGAAAAAATGTCTATATTTGCCAATATTTTGGCATGGGGATACCCTTGTCCAAATTAACATTGCAAAAATAAACATTGCATTGCAATGTTTAGTTTGTCTTAATGTCTATTTATTCTTTTGTCAAACAGTTTGATAAACAAAAATCGAAACAATAAAAGTTAGAGCATAATTTCATTCCATTTTAAACTGTTTTTAATTTTTTGAGTTCTTTTGTTGTTCTATACAGCAGCAAAAGAAATAAAAAACTTAAAAAATATCAATCTATTCTTTTTTATATAAAATGTTATATACACATTTTGTGTTTGTCAGTTTTTGCTTAAGCTCTTATAGAAACAACATTACTTAAATTGAATTATGACTTTCTTTATAAAAAGTATATTTATAGTGGTGTACCTTGGAGGTAGCTTATGTTGTGTATCTCAGTGATAACCAAGGTACAAACTTGCATGATTTTGTTAATACTATTATTAGTAATATTTGATATGAAAGTATTTTTTTAATGTTGTAATATGTTGTTAAAGTTTATTATGATTTTTTTTTGTTTATTGAGAATTTCTTTAGTATAATATATGTGTATTTCTTTATTAAATTGTTATTTTTTTTAACTGTTATCTTCTCATTGATAATTTTCTCAAATTATCAAAGAAATTATAAAACTGTGTATGAATTTGAAAAATCAGACATGGTCTTTTAGTTGCCGCATCCCTCTATTACAGGAGGTTTAGCACAACAGCTGGAAAAAAACTCATTCGGCATTAACTTTGATTACCTGAATATAAAGTAGAATAGGCTAAATCAAAGTGAAACACTTATTACTACTAAACTTTAATGTAGATTTTTGTTATTAGTTTATTTCTTTTGTAATTTTTTAATATTTCTTAGAATAAATAAGTTTAAGTTTATAATCATATATAATTTCGACACACGTATAAATTAATATATAATTTATATAAATCTAACCAGTTACATTATATTATCTCTGATGCGAAGTTCAACTATCCTATACATTATATTAAATTTCTACCTCTAAATTATATTTCTACCTCGAGTACTAACTTTGTTAAAACAATAATACCTCCAAGGTACAACATACAGACCTCCAAGGTACACCACCAGTGGTATACCTTGGCTGTAGTGTAAGCTATTTTTCAAAACTAATAAAAGTATGAAAAAATATGTCTGTATGTTTAATAAAAAATCCTAGAGTAACTAATATCATAAAGTTAAAAAAAATATATTGTTACAAAACATATTGTAAGTATTTTTTTTAATATACTTATATATATATATATATATATATATATATATATATATATATATATATATATATATATATATATATATATATACATATATATATATATATATATATATATATATATATATATATATATATATATATATATATATATATATATATATATATACATATATAAATATATATACAAATATACAATATTAATAAATAAATTTTTATATATACATATACATAAATTACATATGTTTATATATATATATATATATATATATATATATATATATATATATATATATATATATATATATATATATATATATATATATATATATATATATATATATATATATATATATATGTTTACTCATATATATACACACACACACACACACACACATACACACACACGCACGCACACAAACATAATATATAAATGTCATACACTTATATATGTGTGTATATATATATATATATATATATATATATATATATATATATATATATATATATATATATATATATGTATGTATGAATTAATATACATATATATTTACATATATATATACATATACATATATATATATATATATATATATATATATATATATATATATATATATATATATATATATATACATATGTAGTGAATTGAAATTAATTAATAAAGTATTCACTTTGCAAGATGAGTAAACAGCCAACTTCTCTAGTTTTATATTCTTTGGGTAGGCTTTAACTTGAGCTTTTTTTTGGGTTATTCTTTGTATATTTGTAGGTCTACTTAACTCAGATGGAATAATTAAAGGAGGTTTTTTTATATTAGCTGGATCCACTCCAGTGAAAGTCAAGTTTGTATTTTTATTGTTTGAAGCATTATTTATGTGATGGAAATTTAACACATTTGACGCCATTTTGTTTGTTTATAAAATTGCTTCGATCAACCCATGCGAGTTTGTACAAATCGGTCAAATATTAACAAGTAATTAAAAACAAAACTAAGCTACATTTAATTTTTTTTGAGTTCAGGTGTTCAGAAACATAATATGGTTGAGAAATCTGTGTTATTTGTTTGTCTGGGTAATATTTGTCGTTCAACAATGGCCGAAGCAGTTTTTCGTCATATTATATCAACCAGAAGTGATTTGCAATGTTGGAAAGTTGACAGTTGTGGAACGTCTTACTACAATAATGGTAATGACCCCGATTACAGAACATTAGATACCTTAAGAATGCACGGAATTAATAGCTACACGCATAAAGCTCGTCAAATATCTAAATTAGACTTTGATCGTTTTAAATGGATATTTGTTATGGATTCGTCAAATTATAAAACAGTAAAATCGCTTCTTCCAAAATCTTCTAACAATAACTTGTTCCTTCTGCGTTTTTATGATCCAGATAAAGAGGAAGTAAACCCTTCAATTATTGACCCTTACGATAATGGTCGAGACTGTTTTGAGCTTTGTTATCAACAGTGTTTGAAAAGTATTAATAATTTTTTAGCCAAAGAGTTTAACTAACTACTTCAAGCTTCAAGAATGTAACAATACTAGAAACACACAAAAGTTTCAAATTTGCACCGTATATAAGTGTCTTAGAAGAAACCATGACTACATTACTACATAAGATTGAAGGATGATTTTGTAAATATAATAATTTAGCTAATAAACTTGAATCACTTTTTTTCTTAATTATTGGTTTCGCTAAATTAGACACATAAAATTTAATATTTTTTATTATAACAACTTTTTTACACATAAAAGTTGAAAAAATAAAAATTAATAAAATCGTAAATATTAACTGAGAAGTTTTATTATAATATAGTTACATTAGATTATACTATAACAGAAGCTTTTGCATAATTTAGATTTAGATGTGGGTTTGTTACTTAATAGAACTATGGTTTTATAGATGTTGTAGACCCGATCAAGACTAATACAAGTAAGTTTGTAATAAGGTTATAATTATATCATCTAAAATATAAAGGAATGTAGTATAAATATAATAACACAATATTGCAATAATATGATATCACAATCTTCTACCCTTCCAATAGCTAATTTTATATATATATATATATATATATATATATATATATATATATATATATATATATATATATATATATATATATATATATATATATATATATTGACTTCGTCAAGTTTTGTTATAAATTAAGCTTTGAAGGTGGTCTTCTAGTACTACGTGGACGGTTAGTGTTATCTAGAAAGTTTTGAGTAGTAGTGAAGTTAGGATATGGAGTTATGGATGGTGTAATATTGGTACTTGTAGTTGTTTTATTTGGAGAAAGTAAATCATTAATAGCAAATGGAAGATGGCAATCAGTTGGTGATATCAGGTTATTTTTATTAGTTTCAAAGTTATTGCAAGTGTTTTAAACTGTTGAACTGTCTTCTTTGGGTGAAATTGATGTCTCAAAGGTTTCGGGTGGTTAGATTATTTCTTTAATGTGGGAAGTGATACAGTGTCAATTCTATCATTCATATATCTTATACCTGCATAGTGGGGTGATATAGTTTCAAGCAAAGGGACTGGTTTTACCAGTTGGTCTTCTTTCAATCGGAGGTGATTTTTATGCAAGACAGTACTACCTGATTCTGCCAGAAAGTCAGGTGTTCAACACCATAATAGTTGAGCGTTTAAAAGTTATTAGTCTGTTGTGTGGACTAGAATTTGTTAGAAAGTGCGTAGTAGTGATCGAATATAGCTCCAGAGAGTACCAGTCCCCAATCAGTTTTTTCTAGTTCAAAACTTCTTAAAGCTAAATCTATTGTTTTCATGATTGTGGAGTTGAGTCTTTTACGTTGCCCGTTGCCTTGTGGTCGATATGGTGTTGTTCGTGTCTTGCTGACACTGTTGTCTATAAGAGAGTTTTTTAGTTTTCTTCCTTCAATGTGAGTACCACGATCGGAGTGAATGCAGGTAGGGGTGCCAAAAAGAGAAAATTTTTAAAGTTTTATTAATGCATCACAAATTTGGGAGCAAGGGAATACAAATGAGTATCTGGAATACTCATCAGTTATGACTAAAAGGCATTTGTTCGCTGTTTTTGAGGGAAAAGAGACAATAAAATCCATAGCGAGTCTTTCCCATGGGAAAGATATGTATATCCATAGAGGAAAAAGTTGACCAGGAGGAAGTTGAAAAAAGCTTTGGCTTAAGCTCACAGCATACCTGAAAGTCAGAAATTATATCTCTGATTTCACCGATAGTGTAGAGTAAATTCTGTGTCTTGCAGTAGTAGTTCCATCGTGTTACTCCTGGGTGGCATATTTTGTTATATTAGTGTATTTATATTTTTTAATATTTTATTATATTAGTGTATAAGTTGTCTTAGTGTATTAAGATTGGTTTTTATGGCAAGACATCTAGAGAGTGCATCTGCTGCAATATTTTCTGGTCATGATTTATATGAAATATTGAACTGATATTCAGATAGTTCTAAATGCCATTTTGTAAGTTTGTTACCTTTTATTTTGAAAATTTGTCCTTAATTAAAAAGGAAGGAAACAACTTTTTGACCTGTCAAATATTGAATTACGGAGTAGAAAACAGTAAATGTCTCAATCGACGATAGCAATCCATAATGGCCATTGCTTCTTGTTCTATGACAAATTTGCGACCTTAACCTCGATAGGATTCTGCAGAAGAATGCAGTAGGTCTTTCTTCTTAACTTAGCGTTCCACCAATAGCAGTTTGGGAAACGAAATTTTCGATTTTAAGTGGAATATTTGGATAAAATATCGCTAAAGATGCAGTAATTAGTTGGTCTTTTAGTTGTTTAATGGGAGAGATATCTTCATCTGAAAGTGGGATATTTTTGTTTATCAAGTCACAAGAACTAGTCAAAATAGTAGTTAGATTGGTGCAGTTAGTGATCAATTTAGCATAGCATGCAAAGGAGCCTATAAAGCTGGTTAATTGTTTAATGTTAGTTGGAATAGGATACTGTTGTAAGGTCTGGAATCTTTCGGAATCTGGTTTCAACATTCTTTTTATTATTAAAATTACACTTTTTATTGTTTATTTTCATTCCAAAGTCGTTTGCTGCTATTTTATTTATTTGCTGTGAGATTTTTGTCAACTAGATAAGGGTAAGTTTTTTTTGTTTGTATTTTGAGACAAGTTCATCCATTATGCATTGAAAAATGGCAATTACATTTTTTCATCAAATATGAAAGTTTTCTAAATTCATGCAATTTTCCATCAAAGGCGGTCAATGAATAATCTTTCTTTTTTAGTCGGATTTGGTCGAAGACATTTTTTAGGTCTATTTTACTGAATATACTGTTTATAGCTACCTTATTGAATAGGTCATCTATTCTGGGACAAGGGTAAAAATCCAGAGGAGTATCTTTATTTACGGGGTTGGAGAAGTCAATTACTATACGAGGTTTTTTTGATAGGTTTGTAACAAAGCACTGGGCTTTTTAGAAGCTTTGACTGATTTAAATAACATTATTATTTAAGAACCGAGTAATTTCACTATTAATAAAGTCCGAATTCAGATTGTGTCGTCGTGAAGATGCTGCAATTGAAGCGAGTTGAGATGTGTCGATTCCAGGAATAGTTCATATAGTTTACATTTCCTGCAAGATAAGGCAAAGCAGAATTGAATCGGTTCACGTTTTCCTCCATAAAGTGAATTGAATTGTCAGAGCTGAGTATTTATTTAAAATATTGTTACCAATAATAAGAGGTGATACTAGTTATTTTACTACAAAAAGTTTAGTTGAATAGAGTTGGTTTTCTACTATTGAGGTACTGTCATGCTGGCCCATGATTTGTGCGCGAGAATTATCTGCAAAACAAATTGATTTCCTGATAATTGTGTTGAAGGCAAGGTTGTTATCAGACCTAAAGTTTAGAGAAATAAAAAAAAATAAAAAATAAAAAAAAGAAATGAGTGATAAGTCAGAGCCTGTATCGATAAAGATGAAGTCTTGCGCTAGTATTCCATTAACTATTGCATTTATAAGACCTGATTTTTGAATTGTAGTGGCCGTATGTGGGATGTTATCTTGTTTAATGCCATTATTGTACTCGTAGTTTGTTGCCGCACCCTTTATAGGTGTTTTATGTTTTTGTTTTATGCTGTTGTTTTGATTTAGTTTTATCAATAGGCTGACTAGGCCGCGTCCTAAGGCCCCGCAATTATAGGGGCCCCAATATGTCGAAAAATTTCAGAATTTTTTGAAACTGTTGTAAAAGTTAACTAAAAATGGAAATAAAAGTATACTAATTATTTTTATATCATGCGTTACATAGTTGTCTTTTTCAGTCCCAATATTAAATGTCATAAAAACAGAAAATTTTAGTTATAAAAAGGGCCCCAAAATATAACCTGTCCTAGGGCCCCTAGAAGTGTAAATCTGACCCTGAGTAAACGTAATACAAATTTATTCTATAAAAAAAAACTAGAGTCGTCTATTATTAATACCAAACATGCCTAGAGTTTTATCTATAAAAATTTTTTTGCTGCAGTTTTTTTTGCCTATGTACGCTTAACATGCACCAACCAGACCGACGTCTGGTTTGTGTATGTTAAGCTTAAAAGTTAACAAAACTAGTAAAGTATATCAGACACTGGATAAAATTGTGTAAATGGTAATACGTTGATAAAATTTTGGCTACTTTTGTATTCTTGCGCGTTCCGAAAATCAAACAAACTCATGGTCTCAGTTTCAAAATAATCTATGTTGTATACGTTATTAACCGTAGAAATATTGTGCCGAAATACTAAGTTTAACTATGTTATCTTTTAAAATTATAGAACGGATGAGGGTGGTATGAATCAGTTAACAAACAATACTTAATCAATAAGAATATTTTGTAGTAAATTTTACATAGAGTCCATAATCATATTCTAATCTCCACTTTCAAGTTTGAGAGTGTTGCTGATGATAAACAAGCAACATCGTCCGTTTTCGGTTTTTCGCAAACAATTTTTTTAAAAAAATAATGGAGTTTAGAGTCCGTCAAAGTATATGAAAAAAATTGTCGCTACTACGAAAAATTGCCATAATATGAAATTAATAAGTAAACAATGAAAATTTGAGCTTCCTTCAACACCTAAGGGGGGAGGAGTGACAACTTTTGTTTAAACTTTTTAAATAATGCTTTTCTGAATAGTTTGAATTCACCATTAATTTTTTTTTTTTTTTTGTATGTATTTAGGTGCTCCCAAAAGTCCATACGGTCTTATCATAGAGCACCGCGGGTGAGCATTTAACAGGGAGTTCACGCCTCCTTCCGTACCAGTTGTCAATGTTGGGCTTGGCTGGAGCTGGCATCGAACCTCGGACCTCTGAGTTCTGAGCCAGAACTCTAGCCACTGCGCCACGGCTGCTAATTCAAATACATTATTTCAAAATTTATTGAATTAACCCATTTTTTACATAAACCCTATTTTTAACTTCATATGAAGTTAAAAATGAAAGTTCATATGAAAGATAAAAATGATCATTTTTACTTTATCACTCACAATATGCATACTTTAATATGGTTTGATTGTTAGTATTAAGGTTGAACGTGTTGTAACATTGTTTGCGTACTAAATTGGTTGGCTCTTTATATTTATGTTCAAAAGATAATAAGATATCTTGTTATTTATTTTTTGGAAATGTGGATTTCGAATGATTTTTTAACTTTACCCGTTATAGATTACATAATGACCTTGAAGAAAAAGTTTATCAAAACCAGAAGTGACACAGAACACTTAGTATTTAGCCAACCTTTTAAATTTCCAGAAAATTAATTGCTGAAACTAGCATTCAGCCTTATCTATACATCAGGCCAGCAAAGACCTTCTCACTATCCTTAATCTCTGTAGAACCGTCAATCAGAGACGTAATTAAGATAGTGGCTAATAATTTGGAAAACATATGGTTGAGGCGGCGTGTCAACAATTTCATATAACAACATTCTGAAAAGCTTAGATAAATTAGTTACTGATACAAAACGATTGAGGAAACATGTTGATGAAAAGAGAAACTCGTCTACGTTTCAGTGCATTCTTGGTTCTTCCGATAAAGTATTTGATATTTGTACTTGCAAATGTGTTGATCGTGGTACCAGGGATCGGTCAAACTGTAATGTTCTATCAAAGTTTTTTTTAAGGAATTAAAGTTTTGGTTTGATCAATAAATTAATCGTAAAATGTACATTGGCCAGATTGATCATGAAAAAATGGAATGAGTCCAAAAGAAGAAATTTTGTAAAGAAATACAGTTTTTCGTAATTAAGATAGTGGAAATGAATGCAGTTATACAAGACATGACAATTTTTTAAGGTAATTTTAGGCTCAAAAAAAGATCCAAACGCTTTACTATTTTCACAGGTTTAACAACTTTTAAATATCTTGTAACATCTCATCATCATCTCAGTGCAGAACTCAAGAAGTACATAATTTTGCATAGGACATTCTGAATGGTAAAGTAGGACATCTACCAAGTGAAGACTATTAAATTATCTAAATTAACATTGATCTCTTTTTGGAATTTGCCAGCTTGTGGTTTACATTTTTGGGTTCGTTGTGCATTCCATCACGCTAAATAGTATGTGAAGCTTATTTTTGTGTTTTAAAAATTTATTTTTCAAAACCAGTTCCAACTTACAAAACCTAAAAGTGTTGTCTGTTTTATAGCTTGTCTCGTTAATCTAAGTAAACGCTTGAGTTACCTGTTTTTTTTTTTCATTTTTTATAACAATTTATCATAATTATTTTTTAGTTATTTATTAGTGGGATAGCAAGAATTGAATCATAGATTTAGATGCACATGGATAATACATTTTTAGATATACATGACTAATACATTTCTTTCATTATAATACGATTCTTTCATTGTATTTTCTTATTTAATTCCAGTGATCTCTGTCTATTTCAAAAGCTTAACTAGTTATTGCACCATACCTAATGTTATATCAACTACGGAGTAAAAATGTAAACTTGCATTAACTTAAGTAAAATGGGTGTCAATTTAAAGAAATATTTTCTTCAAAAATTTGACAAATAATTAAAGTATTTTAGCAATCAGAAACTACTGAGACTGCTTTTTCTTTATACTGAAAAGACAATGCGATCGCATTTAATAAAGCTTATCTTTTGTTCAAACTCTTTTTCTAAAGAAAACTGACCATCTGCAAGGTTCACTAAATTGACCAGGCCATCTGCTAAACTTAATAAATAGTTTAGTTAAAAATTTATTAGGCATTAAAACTTTATTCAAATTAAAAAAAAAGTTCACGGTAGATTTTAGAAGCTGAGAAAAAGTAAGAGAAATTGTTGAATATTGGCAACTTTATTTATGCCTTTTTTACACAAATAATTCTCTAAAATTATATTTCTATTGTATACTATTTACATAAACAAAAATATTGGGTAAGTAATTATATGTTAGTAGTATGTTTATGATAACAACAAAATAACTATGTTATATGAAAAAATAATTTGATAACATTTAAGAGCAACATTAGTAAGCATTTGGAAGGGGAGGGTTGAAAATTGTTACTGATAATATTTGACTTTGTGTCTTTTCACCGTAGCTTTACATACTATTTTATACTTTTAATTGTACCATCTTTAAAAAATACTATTACAACTTTATTTTATAAATTTGCATCTGAAATGTTAATTTCGCTTTTATGGGATTCAAAATGATAATATTTGCAAAACGGGATCAATTATTTTTGAAGACTTCTGATTATTGTGAAATTCGCATTTTTATATGATTAGTTTGACTATTTTTTTAGAAATAAGGTCCTGATTTTGGAATAAGTTTTCTAAATTCTGAAATTGTTGTCCAAATTCCTGAAATGGTAAAGACAAAATATTTTATATTTGTTAATCTTATAAACAAATCAGCGTAAAATTTATTCTAACTACTTAAAGCAAAAACCAAACTAAAAAACGCAACTACTTTCATTTACAGTGCAGTTGTGGCGCAGTGGTTAGAGTTTTGGCTCAGAACCATGAGGTCCGATGTTTGACGCCGGCTCTAGATCAATAAGCGACATTGGCAAGGAAGGAGGTGCCAACTTCCAAGTTCTGACATGGTGCTCTGTGATAAGTCTGTAAAGACTTTTGCAAGTACTTTAATACTCTGGAGTCCTTGATACAAGGGGGTAGGTGGAGAGGAGGGGGGGGAGGAGGAAATGAAATAAAAGGAAGGGGTGGGGGAGCACAGTGGGATAAAATCGAGTAACTTTTATCAATTTTTATCAGTGCAAACATCAAAAAAATTACTTTTCAATGCATGTATTTGTCATAAAATAACTTTTAACTTTTTTGTGTTTATATTTACAGAACTTATATATTATAACAGTAATGAAAGACTTTTTTAGGTATTTTTTGTGACAAAACATCTTTTTTACATGTTCAGTTTTTCTCATCAACTGACAATTAACCGAAGACCAATGTTTTGATATAGTTTTTTTTATTGCAAAAATAATATATTTTAAAATGAAAGTCAATAAAGTTAATTTAAAACAATAGTAACGTAAGAAAGTTGATAAATAAAAAATGCAAAAGAACGTTTTGGAACACATGTTAATTTTACGTGTAACTAACCGCATAAAATAACGCTTAAATTAATATTTTATGTTTTTTTAACGAGATATTTTCTCTAATGAACATTTTGACAAATTTTTACCGTGCAATACCAACATTGATTTTTTGGTATTTTGGCACGCACTGTGGAGAGGTGAGAAATAAACTAAATGCTCATTTTTGACAAATCGATATTTACTAAGTCTACGTTATTTAAAGCCTGTTTACACTGAAAGTTTCTGTTTTTATCAGTGACTGAAATAATTATTTTCTAATTTTTTAAAGGAAAGTCAGATTTTCACTGATTTTTTTTTTTTAGTTTTGAGATAAAATTAAAATTTTTCAAAAATTAGTGAATGTCCTCCCCCCCTCCCTTTTATTAAGGACTCGAGAGTAACCACAAAATAAAAAAATAAATAAAAAAAGCCTAAAATTTTTTTACAAACTTTGTAACTTGTTTTTTTTTTGGAGTCAACTTTTGGCTCTACCTATAAATATAGTTAAACTATGTACGTATAACAAAGATATAAGTTTTTTATATTCTTTTAACTTTTTAAACCAGAAATAAGATATTAAAAATTACTGCTTTAAAAATAAATGCTTAAAAGCTCCCACAAACAAGGTCAAGTAAAAAAAAAAAAAAAGAAGCTGGTTATACGCAAACGGGCTTATCAGACAAAGTTTTAAAAACGCTTATTTGATTTTGAAATGTCGTTTCCGTACAAAGTCCTGCACACGATCGTTTTTTTAAAGAAGCCCTAAGAAAAACATGTAGTCTTAACATAAAGACAGATGACATGAGAAATAAGTTGGTTGCCAGTTCTTAATCTCATCAATAATGCTTATGCGCTAAGGGCTGTTTTTAATTTGAAGATTTTTGGACTTATGTTCGACCACAAGTTGTGTTCATTGCGTTTCAGCTTTTCAAGACTTAAAGATTTCCGCGGTGCTTTGTGATAAGACCGTAAGGACTTCTTGGGGCACCTAAATCAACATTAAAAAAAAAAAAAAAAGATATGCGTTGGCCGGAGACTGAGGTGTTATGAATATGTGGAAAAAGTATAGACACCAAGGCTGTGGAGTCGGAGTCGCTAAACAAAATCGCGACTTCGACTACAATAGTAACACGTCTCGGTATAGCACGTGCATGTACCCTTTAAAACATTTTTAATATATTTGGCAAAAAAAAAATAAAAATTTAAATTATCGCGTAATATTTTTTAAAGAATTCAAGAATTTTTCAAAAATTTTGCTTTGGAGTCGGAGTCGTATTTTGAAAATTTCAACGATTGGATTCGAAGTCGGTACTTTTTTTTTTACGACTTCACACCCCTGATAGACACACGAGTGGGACTAAAACTCTAGAGTCTGCACCTGTAGCACCTACCTATTTATGGCCCTGATTTGACTTTTTCGAAAAAAAAAAAATTAAATAGTAAACAATTACTTTCTCACGTTGAGAATCATTCATTTATTTGTTTAATTTATTTTACATATTTATAGAAACTGTCATTAAATACTTGTATAGGTTTATGGGCGATATATTACAATTGCGTAAAAAAATATTACAATTGCGTAAAAAATATTACAATTGCGTAAAAAATAATACAATTGCGTAAAAAATATTACAATTGCGTAAAAAATATTACAATTGCGTAAAAAATATTACAATTGCGTAAAAAATATTATACTTGTATAAAACAATATGCTGCACTTATAAAAAAACAAAAATATTTTAAACAATATATTTTGCTTGACAGAGAAAACAAAACACTATAAAATTCAAATCAAGTTTTGAAATCGAAACAGCAAAACAATTCTAAAAAGAAAAAAAAAATCATATTTCAATCCTATTTACTATTAAAAATCTTCTCAAACCTTTTTCAAGTATTATCTTTTTAATTAAAATTTAAAATAAAACAAAACAGCAGAGAATATATAATGAAATAGATTATTAATGCAATCTAAAAAAGCTTTTACAATAAAATAACATTCCTTTTACCATCGCAACCGACTATCGAAACTCTCATACTTAATTTTTTCCATTTTCATAGAACACATCAAACATGTTTCACATCAAAAATGTTCTTTAGTATCAACTTTAGCAAAATTTTGTTATGATAACTAAACCTTTCATCAGCTTAGATTATTTAGAATAATATTCAATTTTTTATACAATTCTTATTTCGATTTTGTATTTAAAAAACAGTTCTTTTCTCTCGCACTCAATGTCAAATTACTAAACAAATGTTTATTAGGAATAGTCGTTTATTAAAAAGTATGTTTAGTTTTGAAAAGATGATCAAGTTCACAACATGTCTATAATAACCATTTGAAACCATTAAATAGGTTTGAGTATTTAGATTATTCTTGGTATTATGGCTTATCATTTAGTCTCAGTCTTTTTTATCCAACCAGTCTAGTGTTTTGTTTTTATATTACATAGTAAAGTTTGGATAATTTAGAAAAGATGCAGTGCATACTCGAGGTGTGTTGTGTCTTAATTACATAGAAATATGACTACGACAGCTGATAACTAATATTTATTGATAAAACTAAAAATATTCATCAATACTGTTTTTAAAGAGGTCTATGTTTTTTTTATCTATTATCCCTTAAGGAAGCATTATTATAATTATTATCTTTTAAGAATTGTAAAAATGTTAAGACTGAAAATAACATAACCCAAAATTTCCGAATACCATTTAGTATTGAACACAAAAATTTTATATGCAGTGACGGATCCAGGAACTTTTGGCAGGGTGTGTATGTGTGTGTGGGGGTGGGGGGGGGGGGGGGAAGGAGGTTGAAGTGTTGAATTATTTTTCAATTTTTTGCCACATTTTTGTCTCCTAAAACAAAACAAAAAAAACAAAAAAAAAAGTTCCTCAGTTTCTAAGATATTTTAGGACTTTCAAAAAAAATCTTTTGGTAAAATAATATGGTTAAAAATGGCAAGCTTAAAAATACTAACCTGATACTTCTCATTTAGATAAAATAAAAATTAATTTACAAATATGTTTATATTTAAGTTTAAGGCACAAGGCACCTCTAAAACCTGTCATAAGGACCCCAAAATCTTGAAAAAAATTTATTAGGTATTGCTAAAAAAGAAAAAAAAACTCCTTATACTTGCAAAAGGGCCCCTAAATTTGCTGGGCCCCCAAATGGGGGAGCCTAGCAACAGCTCTGTTTGTACCAGGGTTGCATGGTTTTTACCAAATGGTTTAAACCATGGTTTAAACCAATTAAAAAAATGTTGGTTTAAACCAAAGTAATGTTCTCTTAAAAAGATTCGAACTTACAACAGGAAACTAAGACAGGGTTATGTTCACAAATATAACTAATCTTCAATATAGATATATTTTTTTAAATCCATGATTTTTTTTTTGTTTTTTTTTTTTTAAATTTATCAATATATTTCATCCAGGATACACTCTACCTAATAGAAATGAAATTGTAGGAGAAATATTAGATAAGGTTTACACAGAAGAAATTGAAAAATGTAATGTATTGAATGGGGAAAATGTAGCCATGTCTTTAGATGGCTAGAGTAATGTACATAATGAACCTATACTTTGTATCTCTGTAATTACAGATAAAATTAACATTTTAGTAGAAACAATCAACACTTCTGGTCATTCACATACTGGTGAATATCTTACACAATTAGCAATAGATTTTGTAAGGCATAAATTTGGGTGCACAGTAAAAAGCTTTGTGACTGACAATGCAGCTAATATGAAATCAATGAGACAAGTATTGTCATCTGAAAGAGATATTATCATGACTTATGGGTGTGCAGCTCATATGCTGAATATTTTAGCAAATGATCTTAACATTGAAAATGTGAGCAAGCATGTTACACAAATTATAAAATATATAAGAAATAATCATCAAGCTGGAGCAATTTATAAATTAAGCAGAGGAACAAAATTGCCACTTCCTACTGAAACTCACTGGAATTCTGTATGTGATTCACTTGAAAAATATGTCAACAACTGGAGCATTATTTTTACAATGTTTGAAAAAAATAAAGACTTGGGTCCCGTGATTGGTAAAAAAGTAAGTGATATACAGATAAAGCGAAACACAGAAGATTTATTGAAAATATTGAAACCAATTGCAGTAGCTCTAGATAAGTTGAAAAGAGATCAAACAAAAATAAGTGACTATTGAAATTTTTAAAGATTCGATGAACAGTTTATCATTTTTATCAAACAAAAAAAAAAAAAAAAATTGAATCTAGATACCTTCAGACTGTCAGTGATGCTCATTTCCTGGCAAACACACTAGATCCTAGATATTTTGGATCTAATCTTTCTGAAAATGAAAATGAAGCTGCAATGAATTTCGCAGATAAAGAGTTCAAGAATTTGTTACCAATATTATAAAAATTAAAAGCCAAATCTACTATAACATAATGGATTTTGAAAGTTTATTAAATGCATCAGCTTCTAGTGCTGGAATCAAAAGAATTTTTTCAACTTTTGGTCTTGTTCATTTTAAGTTAAGAAACTGATTGGGGGTAGAAAAAGCAGCAAAGCTTGTATTTATATATATAATATTAAACAATGATATATTAAATAATTTTGATGAAATATAAAAATAATATTGATAAAAAATATAGTTTACTCAAATAAAATACGTTTTGTTTTTTTAATTTAAAAGGATAAATAAATACCACATTTTACAGTAAAAACCTAATTTAAACCAAAAAAACCATGTTTTTTTTTTTTTTTAAAAAAAAAAAAAAATCCTATGATTTTTGGTTTTTTCAAAAAAAACGTTTTTTTGCAACCCTGGTTTGTACCTCAACAGTTTATACAGAAAGAAGCAGTTTTTGCACCATTTAGTTGATTTATGTTCTGAATGACTCAAAAAAATATTTTTTAAATTTAAAGTTAAATGCTAAAACCGTTTCTGAAGTGAGAAACTTCAAAAATGTGACTAGTTTAAGAGTTATTTGTTTGTTCTTGACATTTAGATTTGATATTAACAATGATTGGTACGAAAAATTAAAAAGAAAATTAATAAAATAATTAAATCAAACATTTTTCCTTGAGATAAAATGTCTATTTACGCATACAAATATTCTTATCAGATAATTTAAGATGTACTGCTTTTTTTTGTATGATGTGGCTTTATATTTCATAGAGCTTATGGTCTAATTTTATGTAATGTAAATATTATGTTGTAAACCTACAATCTTGTTATAAGAAATGTACTAAAATGTTTTTTGCAACAAGTACTTAAGTGTTATAAATGTTTATGGAATTAGGCTTGCCTCCTTTAGATAAATATCAATATGTATACAAATTATTATATATATAAAATACAATATGTATATAAAACAGAATTATTAATTGATTACGCTTGTCTTAACTATGGACTTAGTCCATTTGTTACTTATTTTAGTTAAGTCACTTAGTTGTCTGAATCAAACAAATAATAATAATAATGATAATAATAATAATAACAATATTAATAGTAATAATAATAATAATAATAATAATAATAATAATAATAATAATAATAATAATAATAATAATAATAATAATAAAAATTTATCAAAATTTATCAAAAAGTTCGTTCATAAACATACACACATAAAATTTAACATACTAAAAATATTGAAATTGGTCATTCTGTTGCATTATTTAAACAAAATTTTAGACAATTTAATTAAAACAAAAAAATTCTTGCTCAAATAAAGTACAAAATTGAGTTAAATAAATTATTAAAAAGTTATAGTTAAATATTATATTCAAATTATCCATCATATTACTCACATTATCCGTATAGTTTTTACTTACGGGCTATATTTAATTTTCAAGAAGCGTCTAAGCTAAACAATGTGTGTCAACAAAGCGTAATAAGGAATTTTTCTTCTAAGGTTTATCTAGAGTTTAACACTTTTCTGGGGTTATCGGTTAAATTTTTATTTTTTATTTTTTTACTTTATAAGAAAATCATTTAAAATCAATTAAGGTGACGATGATTTTGCAGTCAAAATGAACCGTCACTACAATGAAAATGTACGCATTTTTTTTTTTAATATGTAAAATGTGTTTCTATGGAGCAAACGTGTAAATTGCTTCCCGATGAAACAATTCACATGTTTTAGTTCCAAACAAGTGTGTTTCACCATTATATTGATTACCTAATACTACTTGTAAAAAAAAAAATTACAGTTTTGCCATATCAGGTCTTTTATACTCGTAAATACTACCTGTCTCTTTTATTCAATGTATTTTTTATTTTTTGTTGTTGAGACTATAGCATGTTTAAAACATTTTTTCTAAATTTCTACCATATAATATAAATTAACGATAATAATTACCTCCCCAAACCATCCACGGAAACACGGGCAAAAGGTTTATCCAAAAAAACTTTTTATATCTTTTAACTGTATTGAAATTCAATAATATATTTTAATTTTATAAAAATAAAGTGATGTTAATGATGTTAATAAAAAGTTGAACTTTTTTTGGGAGAGAATTTTTATATATATTTTATATATATATATTTAAATTATTAAATGTTTATTTTTGTAGCAGTACTTTTAATATTATTACCTCTTTTAATTTATTTTTTTATCCATTAAGTTTGGCAATAAATTAAATTGTGTAAATAGTTTCATAGTTTAGTTACATGTTAAAGCACATATTTATGTAAACATATACTGTATTCTCAGTTTTAGCAATACTAGGAAGTTCATAATTATAAGAAAAAGGGTAATGTTAAATTTATTTTTAAAAAATTATGTTTTTAAATTGTTATTTTTTCATTAATTTTTATTTTTATAGATTATCAATGAAAGTGCAATTTTGGACAATATTGAGCAGCTGCTTCATCAAGCAAGCACAGATGATATAGAAATGTACAATATTTCAAGTACTGGAAGTTTACCTGTTTCAATTCAATACAGTTCTAATTCTGCTCCTCCTTTGGAAGTATATAACTTATCTAAATCTCCAAGAAGCAAATACTTAAAAAACCGAGCACTTTCTGATAATACAAGTGATGATGGAAAGTATGGTTTACAATCAAAAAATTCTACGGTATTTTGTTAATATTTGTCTGATTTGAAAGTGTAATATAATTTAAAATATATTTAGTTTATATTATATATTTAAGGTATATATGAAATGTTATTTTTTGTTAAATTTTCACTTAAAAGTAATGATGTTTATAAATTTTTAAAATAAAAAGTACCTCATTTTGTTATAGCTATCATGCAACGAAGTATTTGAAATTGAATGCACTGATGAAGGTGCTGTAGGTAATAGAATTTTTTTAATTGATGTTAAACTTTTATTATACAATATATTAAAATAAATCTTGTATAAAGTAGTTATTTAAATGAAAATCTTAGATATTTGTAATGAATAATATAATAATAATAATAATAATAATAATAATAATAATAATAATAATAATAATAATAATGAAGAAGAAGAAGAAGAAGAAGAAGAAGAAGAAGAAGAAGAAGAAGAAGAAGAAGAAGAAGAAGAAGAGCAATAATAATGGCAAAAATAATGTCCACCCAAATCTTGACATTTATAATTATACTTTTAATGTTTGAAAATGCTTAGGCCAAAAAAAAATGTTTATAAAAATCAAATCTTTTGTTCTAAGCGCTAATACATGTATATTGTTAAGTTAAAGTAACAATGAATAAAGTGTGCAAAAGATTTAATTACATTTTGTTAATATATCCAGTATCTTTTTTAACAATATGTGTGTTTAATATGTATATAAACAATATATCAACAACTTAACAAAATTAAAAAAAAATTATAACAACCATCTTCAATAAAATTAAACACAATTATTGTAATAAATTTTCCTGAAAATAAATATTTTCATGAAAAACTTTCTCCAGAATGCATATCTGGACTACATTTTCATTTAAATAAGCAGATTTTAGAGATAAAAAATGTTGTTTTATTTTTTGATATAAAATTTTTCAACTTCAAGAAAACCATTAAGATAGATGGACTAAGTAATTACAAGAAAAATGGAAATGCTATCCTTACACTGCCACTACATACATCAAATTAACTTCAATCATTAGAAAAAATTGTAATTGGACCATATATTCTCTTTTTTTTTCCTTTAAATTAGTATTACCCCTTAGAAGTTCTTTAAGGTTTGTGTTTCAAAGTTATAAAGTTGAGAGAAGATTGTAATCTCAATTAGTGTAGCCTCCTCAACTATAGTTGCCTTCTCATCTTTGGGGAGGTGAAATAAAGTTAAAAAAAAAAATTATGCATTTTTACAATAGATTTTGTGATTTAAAATCATGAATTTACAATTTCCCACAAATGTGTCTCCAAGTTTGGAATAGAGCTGCTACTCCTACGAATATAAAATTTAGACTTAGTAGCATTGGTACTTGGCCCTTTAATAAAAGTATATCTATGAAGGAAGATTACTTACTATCTTGTGACAGATGGGCAAAAAACTGCTCAGTCAAATAGTTCTGAAACATCTCATAACTGTGTCAATCAATGTTTTCTATCTTCACTAATTGGTCATTATGGGCATCAAATAAATATATAAATAAATAAGCAATTAAAACTGGGTGTTTAATTATTTGATGTTTGATGTGCTTTCCCTTATACATGTTCAAAGTCACTGTATGTGCAGAGAGACCTTAGACATTTGACTTTTATTTTAAAAATAGTTTTTAAACATTAAAAATCAAGAGATCTTAAGAAAGTTAAAATGTTAAAAAACGCTTTAATCATTCTAGTTTAACAAAAAAAATTTATTAAACAAGCCCAATTGTGATAAAAACTATCCAAAGTCTCCTTGCTCTCCCCTACAAGTATTTAAATAACAATATATTTTTAGTAGGTCTGTAGGTCATATTATTTATGCTTAATTTATTTTTATATAACATTATTTTTTTATACTTATTATCATTATTACTAATTAATATTATTATTATTGTTATCATTATTATTATTATTATTATTATTATTATTATTGCTATTATTATTATTATTATTATTATTATTATTATTATTATTATTATTATTATTATTATTATTATTATTATTATTATTATTATTATTATTACTACTACTACTACTACTATTAATGTATTGATTTCAAACAAAACTTTGAAATTCTAAAGAAATCACTAATAACAGTTGTAACAATGTTTAGTATTTAAAATTGTGTATATGAATATTGTAATGTAAAAACAAAAGCATTTCTCCTGTTTCCGGAGACAACCTATTTCGTTGTGGAGAATAAACTTTTCCTCCACAACTGAACAATCGTTCATTTTCAACAGAAGATGGAGGGCATGATAAATACTTTTGAGTTTTCGGAGCTAATTGCTTAAAGTTGTTTCTATTAACTCCCCACCATACTATAGAGCTATCTTGTTGCATGATAATGTCTTGGCTCAAATAAATTAAAACTGCATTTATCAACTTTAAATAATGCTTGCTTTTAGTTTCTTGCAGAACTTCAGATATTGATGTGTTTTCGATTAAAGTGTTTTTATTTTTAATAAAACTTTCAAAGCATTTTGAAAAATCAAAATCTAGATTTATTGTATTTGATAACAAACTGACCTCAGGTTGAAGTTCTACATGATCTTTTTGTTGAATATCTTTTGAGCAATCTACAAGCCATTTAATATTTTCAAAATAACTATCAGCTTCTTCATTTAGAAAAAAATTATTTTTATACCTTGGATCTAAAAATGTGGCTAAAATGAGATTTTTGTCATTGAGATATTTTTCAAATCTTTTATTTGCTGGTATTTTACATTCTTTTAAAGTTGTCCCTAATCCTAAAAACAAGGGAAACTTTTCAGCTTGAACCAGCATGGTTTTTATAACTTGTACAGTTGGAATTATAGCAGATGCGATTGCTTCACGCTCACTTAACAAATTCGTTATATTATTAAACATTTTTAAAAATCGTAGTAGTTTTTCTAAAATAATCTATTCATTGTTTTCCAGTCACTTTAGTTTTGAGTTGTCATTATCACAACAAAATGGGATCAAAACATGCTTCTGTTCAAAAATTCTTTCAAATATAAAATATTGACTATTCCATCTTGTTGCAATGTGTTGCTTGAACCTATTTTCTGGCACTTGATAATGAGTTTGATATTTTTGATAAGTTTCAAAAGAAGATGGTGAATGATTAAAATGGGTTACTATGTTTTTACAAGTTGTTGATATATTTTTAATATATATCTGGGCAAATACAGCGTCATTCGACACAAGTTGCAGAGTGTATAAAAAACGCGGCAAGCTGTTGTAACCTGCGTCTCTTATACCAACTACCATATTAGCTGCATTATCTCTAGCGACTAAATGTACTTTTGTAGTTGGAATAAGAAAGTCATTCATAGAATTTTGAATTGCTTTACTTATATTTTTGGCAGTATGTGATACATTGAGTTGACAAACTCAAAGAATTGCTGATTTTTGATGAAATTCTTTAGTTAACCAATGAGCTGTCAAGCTAAGAAATGAGCATTTTCCGTTGGTAGATGTCCATCCATCAGTTGTAAATGAAATGTATGAAGCATCATTTATTTCTTTTTGGACATTTTGCCTGACTTTGTTGTATATATTTTGAAAAACAGAGTTTTTAATGTATTTTCTACTTGGAATACAATAGTTAGGACATAAATGGTTTAACAACCTTTGAAATCCGATGTCTTCTTCAATAGAAAAAGGTTGAATATCTACTGCAATCATTTCTGCAATATATTTAATAGTTAATTTAGACCTGTGATCATTAATGCCCCATGGGTTTTTTTCTCTCAAGTGTTTCAAACCAAGTTTGTTGAGCAACTTGCATCAGTTGACTTAATTTTCTTGAACATATTTTGTTCACTTTCTGCTTTCCTTTTGTTTTCTACTTCATTAAGTTTCAACTCTTTGCTTGCTATTTCTTTATGTTTTGAATTAAATGAGACAACATATTTGTTGTGTTAAAAGACTTAGATTTTTTTTCTTTATTACCTCTTATAATCTTAAGTTTGCATGTGCTACATATTGCAATTGAAGCATAATCAGTAGAAATAGTAAAATATTTCCACACCCAACTGCGTGATTTTATTGGAATATCTTTTCCAAACAAGGCTGCCGCCATTCTGAATATATACTTAATTCTGCAACTTTATTAACTTATTAATTAATTAATTAATTTAGATATCTAAATAACAATTATATAGAAATATAGAAAGCAATATTTGAATACATATAGATAAAAATGCTTAAGTAGGTTACTTTTAAGTATAAGAATAAAACAACATAGTAATAAAAGTATAAATACATTCAGCTTATAAACATCATTTTAAGAATAAAAAATTTGCCTGTAAACAAAGTCAAAATAAACAATTTCTCAAACAAAAATTCCAAGTAATGCATAAAGTTTAGTTTATTTATTATTTAATTATTATTATAATGCAGGATAAAAATATTAAAATGCCATCGGTAATGAAAATCGGTAAATTTGGCCGATGCCGATACCAATTCCGATTGTCCAAAAAGTGGCCGGTTAAGCTGATGCTGATGCTGATTAATCGGTACATCACTAATATATATATATATATGCACACATGTGTATATATATATATATATATATATATATATATATATATATATATATATATATATATATATATATATATATATGCGTGTGTGTGTGTGGGTGTATATATAAGTTGTCTATTGAAATTTAAAATTGAGTTTAAATTTGTAATTATGTATTGTGATTAATTACAGTCAGTAGAGAATTAATAAAATAGTATGAAATCCATATAGATCCAGTAGAGTGTATATACTAATTTGTTTAAAAAATATTGACCAATAATAATTGTAATTTAATATTTTGAACATATATTTATAGTATACTTAATCTCTTAAAAAACCTACATCAAAATTTTATCTTTGTATTTACACATATAAGTTTTGGTGATACAAAAAATCTTTCTATTAAAATTTTTTTTTTTAATAATCATGTTATTTGTTTGGTTTAGTTTGTTATAATAATTAAAATGTTAGTTTGTTATAATAATCAATTTTTACACAATCTCTGTTAATTTTTAGATGAAAAAAATACTTTCAGCTATGCAAACTTTCTCAAAGCACATACATGTTATGATTGTATTCCCCATAGTGCCAAAATTGTTGTGGTTGATGCAAAAATTAAAGTAAGGGAAGTTTGCAAATTATCAAGGAAGTATATTGAATATAATAATCATATATATATATATATATATATATATATATATATATATATATATATATATATATATATATATATATATATATATATATATATATATATATATATATATATATATATATATATATATATATATATATATATATATATATATATATATATATATATATAGGGGCTATATAGGGGCTATTCTAGACCGTTTTCGGTGGCGTCAACCATGTTTGAGCGGTGTTCAAATTAAAAATTAAGTTTTTTTTGTTTTTTTTTTACATTTTTATGCCAAATATTGTTTTTTTCTCGAAAAATGCCAAAATTTAGCAATATTTCTGCTAAATTTCTTCTGGAAGGAGAAGACGTATCACCGCCAAAATTTTTTTTCCAGAATAGCCCCTGATATATATATATATATATATATATATATATATATATATATATATATATATATTGTATATATATAGTATATATTGTATATATATAGTGAAATTTACTTATATTTAAAGATAAGATTTTATTCATAAAATATATATTTTTAATTTTTGTGTGAATAAAAGCAAATTATGCTTTAGACTTTAGTCTAAAGCATAATTTTATGTTTTTTATATTTATTTCAGCAAATATTATTTTGGCTTTTGTTTTTGTGGCTTTAATTTTTCTGTGTGTGACTTTAATTTTTTATTTAATCAATTAAATTTAATCTCAAATAAAAATTTTCTAAAGTGATTACCTCAAATGATTGGAGAATGCTTAATCAAAAATAATAGTAATAGTGCTAATAATCTATTATTATGAAATATAATCTAATAGAATATATAGAATTATGTTTATTAAAGTTTTCATTTGTTATTGTGCATTTAACTAGATCAATAATATGATACTTTTATTAACTTATTATTAATAAATACTTAATATAATAATAATTATACAAGGTTATAGCTATGGTTTTATATAAAAAAAACCGGAACGCAGTATCAAGTTGCATTATAATAGCCTTCGAATAAATTATTTCTGAAATAATCATTGTCTATCTTGTTTTTAAATTTATTTGTTTCTTGATTTACTGTTTGTAAACTTAGTTTATTGCAATTGCTTTATTTCTGTTGGTAAAAAAATGTATTTTGTTAAACACGGTCTTATGAGCTGCTTAGTGACAGAGTGCTGATTTCTTAAATGCAGCTGGTTAGTATTCAAAGAGTTTATGCAATTGATAGTTTCAAATCTCTTGTGGATTTTATATTGATAGATTAGGTCACCCCTTGCTCTTTGTGTTTCTAAAGACATAATTCCTAATATTTTTAGCTGGTCATTGCTGTTGTTTCTTAACTCATTAATAATTTTAGTCGCTCTTCTTTGTATGCTTCTACAATTTTAATGTCACTATTTAACTACAAACACCAGACAGACACTACATAATCCAAGTAAGGTCTTACTAAAATTAGATACAATTGTCTTATTAAGATTCTGTTATTACTTTTGAATGTTTTCCTTACTAATCCTAAAAAACAGTTTGCTCCATAAGTTACAGTTGCAATATGTTTCTTTCATTTAGGGTCTTTTGTGAACAATACACCCAAGTCTTTTTTCTTTTCAGTTGTTTCCATTTTATGTTTATTTAATTCCTTAGCTATATTTCTGGTTAGTTTGACCCAAATGCACAACATTACATTTTTCCTCGTTAAAAGTTGTAGACCATATTTTAGCCCATTCTCATATTTTATTAACATCATGTTGTAAGTTTAAAATGTCTGTTTCATTAGAAACAGCAGCAGTTTATATCTTTGTATCGTCTGCAAACAGTTTGCAGTGACATAATATTGTCCTATATATCAATAATGTATAGAGCAAATAGTATGGGTCCCAGCAACATTGAGGTACTCTGCTATTTACTTGTATCCGATTTGATGTAGAATCTCCTAATGTGAATCCATTTTGTTAATTATCTATCCCATAATTGCCTAATTTATAAATAATTTTTTTAATGGGAAATCTTATCAAATGCTTAAGCAAAATCAAAGTAAATAATATCTACTGGTATTCTATAATTTAGGGTAATTCCATGTCAAATGACCTAAAAATTTTTAAAATGTCCTTTATCTCAGATTTTGCTTATTTTTATACAGTTAAGAGTACTTAGTAAATAAAAATTTACTTAAAAATTTTAGCCTCTGGCTCCAAGAAGATCATGAAATATGATTATTTTACTTTTAACAGATGTTGGCCAGGCCCCTCTTATCCCCTCATAATTGCAACGTTTATATAGAGGTTTCAAGTTACATAACTTTGAAACTATTTGAGCTTTTTACTTAAAAATTTGTATCTGGTTATTTTCATGGGTGACGAATCCAATGAAATGATCAGGAATGTAAAAAATTAATTTTAAGTACCTGTATTTATCAATTTAAATAAATTTAGGCATATTTTTATATACCTGATTTTGGTGCTCAAGAAACCCATTTGGCCTTGATGGAATCAAAAAAATATATATTACATATCATTCTATATTCATTGATCTTTCAAAAAATATAAGGATATTGATCTGCAATTATATGGATTTCTATATATGGATGATAGGACAAGGTCCAAACGTTTTTGTAGCAGAGTATTATAATTGATTTTTCGCCACCTTCCAGATTAGCTGGAGCTCTGAATCTTTCAGCATTTCTGTAGTGCTAATAAAAGTGCATGTTAAAGTTGTTTCCAGGGTCCAAGACACCAGGGGAGGGGCTGGGTCATGTGGCCCATTTTTTTTGTAGCAGAATCTTGTGATAGATTTTTCACTACTTTCCAGACAAACTGGAGCTCTTAAAATTTTAGCATTTGTGTCATCCTAATGAATGTGTATTGAATCTGTTACCATGGGTTGCGCTTTCATTAACTCCCAGAGCTGCCCGAGTTTAATGGATTCAATTTTTTTTTCAAATGAAGTAATTGATCCTAGGCTATCTTTATAAATAAGATGGTTTCGGGATCTTAAACCATTATAAAGATATGTCATTTTGAAATTTAGACAAAAAAATTCCTTATTTGGATTCAAATTCTCTGTCATAGATTTTTTAGCAATTGTATATGTGTAATTAATTTAAGTTTTTGTGGAAAAACCATTTTTAAAGATGCTGAATTCAAAGTAGAAAAGAAATTAACCTATTTCAAAATGTTTGATAACTATTTTTTATTTATTTTATAATTGTAAAAAATCATTTAACCCTAAAACGAAGTAAGGTTTTCAGGAGTTGCTTGACTCTCATGGTTTTAGCTGTGATGAGTAAAAACAGTTTATTGAGTTTGGTTTTGATATATAGATAAAGTTTTATGAAGAGAAATGTCATGTAAAAGTATAGTTTTGCAATGCCTGCTGTGATGTATAAATATAGATTTGTGACATCAGTTTTGTCATAAAAAAGTAGTTTTAAAACACCAGTTGTATTAGCTTAAAATTATTTTAATTTTAGATTAAATAATTAAGTCTTGTTTGGTAATTCAGTTTCTTAGTCATGGCAAACAGCCAACAGTGCTCCATTTGAATCAAGCTAGAAAGTGAATGTCATCTTGCAGCATATACACCGTTGCTTGGAATGGAATCTTTTGAAGATATTCCTGAATATGAAAGAGAAATATTAATGTGGAGGACTGGGCTCTCAATAATCAATGTCAAACCAACAACTGGTCTTCATCATAAAAATGTTTATTTGAAGCTTTATGCACCTAAATTAACACAGTGCTGCAATCCATTTAATACTCATAACAAAGTTATAAAAGGTATTTATAGTAATCAAAACTTTTGGTTTTATAAAAATGTTGTGAGTTACAATAATGAAATTCTTTGCAAGCAAATTCTATTTTAGCTATATTTAACCTAACTTTTAGCTGACTTCTGGAAGTAAACTTTAAATGGTTTAACTCAAATTTTTATACATATTAAAAGAGTTATTCCCTCTTTTTTAGGCAGTCTTCGTGAAATCAACTTAAATACAGCAAAGTATTTATGTAGTAAAGGCAAATTTGTTGTGCCAGGCCAAAAACCTTGTCCACAATGCAGACATAAATTAGCATCAAGTGAAGAATCAGAAGAGAACGAGTTGGAGATAAAATTAACTGAAGATAATATGGAAAAAGAAATTATACTGAAATCAATAGAATCATTGCTTAGCAGTACTTTGAGTGAACTTAAAATGTCTTCGCTATTTGTTCATTTACCAAAAACTTCTAACAAGCCTTTACTTGGAAAAAGAAAGATAAAGCAAGTTGAAGAAGCAGTTATTAAGAAACTTGCAACTGTTCTGGATGTCACTGAATCCGGTCTTGTTGCACCAAACAACAATAAAATTCTAATGGAAATTCAAACCAAAGCTGGCGATTTAGACTTCCTTGTTAAATGCATGAAAGAAAAACTTAAAGTCTCTAACGGAAGGCTGCAACTTCAAATTTTGACATTAACCTATTGTGATCTCAGAAATACCAACATTTGAAAAACGACTTTTAAAGCCAACCAAAAGGCCTAATTCAAATTCACGTTGATGAAATAAAGAATATGTTGTAATTGGATTAAATGTAAAACGCACGTTTTGATTGGATTAAAATTTGAAACGCTTAGGATTTTTAAATAACATTTTTAAAATTAATTTGAGTTTCTCCTCCGCTTACGTTTCATTAACGTAAGTTAATGAAACGTAATTAATAATACATTAATTTGAGTTTCTCCTCCGCTTACGTTTCATTAACGTAATTTTCGAAGCGATTAAACTACATGAGCTTTAAACTTTTTCATTTCAAATAACAGTAAAAATTGTATTAAAAATACTTTAAATAATAAAACGAATGAAAGTTTTTAAAACATAAAATTAGAATAACATTTATTTAAATAATTAAATTAATATTTTAATATTCGCGCCAAAAAACTTGATTTAAATAGTAAGAGTAGAACTAAATAAAAAAGTTATTAATTTTTGATTGAAGTAATTAAAATTTTGA